AAAAAAAAAAAATAATTTGTTTATTTTCACATACTTTCTCCTATAATTACGATTGGCACTGATTACATGATATTATCTATGGTATAGAGTAATATGAAATCCAAGCTTCCACAGAGTATGGAGTTGCCAAAGCAAGCCAGAATGTGATGCTGTGACATCCTGTATACGCATTATATGTTGTTTTCAGCACTTGTAAGCCATCCAGAGAACCCTCGGATTATGGGGCAGAATACAAGTGGAATGAAATAAAATATTAAATAAATGAAATGCATACATACCAGGCCAATGCTCACTGTTGGCTTAATGTCTGATTCTGGCACTCCTAAGCCAGTGTGCAGAACTGGTAGCTTTTCGGGCAATCACATCCAGAGGAAGCCTGGTGCAATGCTGCCCACAGGGACCTGCTGAATGTGTCTACCAACTGCTAAATCAATTTCTCAGCATAATTTGTCAACATTTCTGCAGTTGTGCCATGTAGGTTAGGAAGTAAACTTCTAAATTAGTCACCTTAAATGTTGCTTGCTTGAATTCCCAGGACTGCACTATACTTACTCCTGGCTAGATGAATGGCATATTCATGTTTCCAGGGCTGTTGAATGGCAAATGTCTGACTAGATTTCAGAGGGATCATGGCCAGTCTGTTAATCATTAAACAAACACTAGAGGTAGATTTCAGTGCATGAAATACAACTTCCCTTTGCTTCTGTGTTTTGAGCCCATTTACTTAAATGAGGCCAGATCCAGGTCATTTGAAAGAAAGCATTAATGTTCAATTACCTCCAAAATGAATCGTTTTATCAACTATTCTCAGCTGACAAAGCATTTTGTGGTTATCATCCCTACAACAAGCTTGTGCTATGGGATAGACTAGCCTAGTCACCTTTGAGGCTACCATAGGATTTGCATTTTCACTGCCAACCCTAGGAAGGTCGTGCTGCATAAATATTGCTCATTAGTGACTTTATGAACTTTTTGACAACTTCTCCTTCAAATCCTTTCCCTTCTTACTTGTGTGTGTGATGTTCAGATCTTCAGGAAGCAAGAGTGTGCACGACTATTCATAATTTTCTCCTGCTGCTCCATAATATGATGAAGAAACACAAATATCTCATTTTATTTGCCCAAGATCCCTCTCTAACCACAGCCTGTCCCCACTGACCTCTGTGGAAGTCCCCTGGCCATGGGAGTGATGCCTGCTGCCCTTAGAGCTGTCTGTTCTGCGGTGACATTGCCTGCCGCAGTTCTCATATTTGGGAGGTTTCCCAACAACCCCTGCTGCCAGTGGTCACCGGGTCATGGCTTTCGTCCCTCCCCCTTTGTTTTGTCATGCTCATCTCCTTCATCCTATTGGTGATGACTTTTCTCCTTGTTGCTTATTGGGAAGGAGTAGCAAGTCTTCATTTTATGTTACTATATAAACACCACTCTGGCGCCTCCATAAACCTCTGTGACTGAGCTAGTAACAGCTAGAGATTTCAGGAAAAAATCAGCTTCTGATTCATTCTATGTCTGCTGTAAAAACAACTACAATTCAATTGAGATATAAAGTGTTTGTTTTCTTTAGCATGGTTTCACTTCATAATGGAAGCCTTTGAATGCAAGGAGGACAAAGAGATGATAATATTAGTGTCCAAAATGGATCCTGGATGCAGCGGGGGATGGGTTTCATTAACAAGAACACAAGAGTGGGTTAGTTAACCCCTCACATGCTGAAACAAACCTTTCCTACCAAGTAGAATGAATTCAAGAATTATTTTGTTGTTAGAGAGTAATGTAAGAGTAATTCAAAGCCTTTTTAATAACTGCAAGGGCTCCTGCATCGTGAGAGCTAGATAAAAGGGAAATTCCAACCATGAACTTCCTATTTCATTTTTGGAATACACTGCTAGAGAGAGATGCCCTGGTAAAATCCTTTCCTAAATATACCACTGAAAGGATCAGGAGCCCTCCTGGTTTGAAGCAAACATAATCTTGTACAAGCAACCAACCACATCCATGTATCATTTCTTCTGATAAGATATTGACAAGCTTGCAGAAGCATTCTATCAGGTACAGTTACAGTTGAATATAGGCACCCATAGAATTAAGCTACCAATAATCCTCAGTGCCGTAAAATACCAAGTGGTAGTTTTAATCTTTAATAACAACAACAATAAACACAGGGATGCATTTATATCACCAATGTATTAATTCTGAGCAAAACAATACAGCAGAGATCTCCTTCCCCAGGGCATCTAATTTAATTGCCATTGAACATAATGCCAACAGCAGTTTCTACAAAGGAACCTTATAAAGATTTTGTCCTGGTTCAGATGGTTTATCAGCTCAAGAATAAGCCAATCCTCTTTTCATATACTGATTTGAAGCAACAAACCACAGTTTCCAGGTTGAGATTTCACTGGAAACTGTGGTTTAATAAACCATGACAAAACTACCAAAACTAGAAATGCAGGCACATGGCTTTTTCTTAGTTGATAAACTAGACATTGATAGTATGTGTCAAGGCTGGCTATTGTGGAGACTGAACCTTTTTTACTTAATGTGGTGTTCTTACATTCCTGTGCATGTCTCCTCAGAAGTAAGCCCCATTTACTTCACTGAGATTTGATCCCAGGTAAGTTAACATGGGATTGCACAGGTTAATCTGTGTTCTACAAAATATTACAAGCCTCATTAATCTCTTTGGCGCTCTTGCCAGTGTGAGTGACTGAAAGATCAGGCTATGTGTTTCACTTTCCTATGTGACACTTTCCTTTCAGACTTGTTCTCTAGCCAATCTTTCTGTGAAATGTCCTATGCTAATGGGTGATGCTAGTATAAGATACGCTGCGTTCTAAATCATCAACAAAGGCTTCAGTTAAACCAGGGCTCCCACTGTGGAATCATTCTCCAGTGCAGCAGTGCCCTGCAACCATGCAGTGGTGGCTTCTAGTTGGTGACCCTCAGCTGATGGAAGGCACATCTCGGTTGAATAGGGAGTGGGCAATTTTCAGTAATTCCCCAGTCCCGTTGCAAGGACATAACCACCCTTCCAATCTGTTGCAAAGGGGTGGCCCTCTCAGAACATCATGGAGGGGATGCAGGGGGAAAGATAAATTATAGAAGGACATCTCGTTCCACTGATAGATGACTTCAGTCAGCAGAGCGACACCACCCGGAGCGTACGAAAAATAGCAAGATGTGAGTAGGCTTCTAGGTTTAATGTGGAGAGCTTTCCTCCTGCCACTGAGTTTCCAGAACTATTCTTGACCTGACAGAGATTAAAGCAAGCCCTTCCCATTCCCAAAGGAGAGTGTAAATTTGAGCCCCAGCACTAAGTACTGATTCTGTGTTATTTATTCAGGGATTTGTAAAGCACGTTAGTATTTTCTGCTCATAAAGACTGGCAGGATGTGGAATAATATGAAGGCATAGGATGCTTCTCAAAAACGGATGGGTGGCTTTTTGTGTGCAGTCTTGTAGGTGTAACGTAACAGCTAGAGCACTTTTGGTGTTCCTCCGCTCATAAATGTCTTCTGCATAAATTATACACTGCAGACATTTCAGTGACCTTGTAACATTCAACCTCTCTGCCCTGCATTTCTGTGCTTACACAGGAAGGCAGCAGTTGGCAGAGGACTGAGCCGTGAGCACGCTCCTTTTGGGTTGGGTCAGCCTCCAGCTCCTTTGATTTGTGGGTAGACGTATATGCCTTTCCTGCAACCTCTTCCCTTTTTGGCTTCCCCGGTTCCCACAGGAACCCAAGAAATAGGCTGTGCCCACAGCATTCAAGAGGAAACCAGATCAGGATGGGGTGGGGTAGGGGATTAGGCAGGGGACAAAGCCCACTTCACTTCATTTCAGTGACTTTATTTCAGGTCAGGTCCTTGGTTGCTTCTTGATTTGTTTGTTTTTTTCACTTGCAGAAGCAGAAGTGTCATTTTTCAATCTGTACTTCAGCTTTAAGGAACTTTAAAGTTCTATTTTAAAAATAGTTAAACCATTCTTAGATTTAATGCATATTAGAAAAGGGGTTGAAAACAAAGCAGCCAGTATCATACCTCATGATCTATACTAAGGAGCCCTCCAGGTATTATAGACTACAACTCCCATTAGTTCGAGCCAGCTTGGGCAATGACTGGGGGTTATGGGAACTGTAGTCCAAAACATCAGGAAGTTGCTGGGATGCTATTCCCAATCTGTGCTCTGACTGCATTTGGAGTATTCTGCAGGGTTGTGCTCTGCCGGTCATGAACACTGTTCTGTAGATGTGGGAAAGGGACAGAAAAGGGAGAAGCGAATTCATAACAGGATTGGAACACCTTCTATATTAGGAAAACCATAAGTATTCTGGAGGAGACTCCTGTGAGTCCCTTGGACCGGAAGGTGATCAAACCAGTCAGTTGTAGAGGAGATCAACCCTGACTGCCCTTTAGAAGGCCAGATACTGAAGATGATACTCAAATACTTTGGGCACCTAATGAGAAGGAAGGACTCCCTGGAGAAGAGCCTAATGCTGGGAACAATAGATGGCAAAAGAAGAAGGGGACAGCAGAGGATGAGGTGGCTAGATGGAGACACTGAGGCAGTAGGTGTGAACTTAGGTGGACTCCAGGGGATGGTGGCGGACAGGAAGGCCTGGAGGAATATTGTGCATGAGGTTGCGATGGGTCAGACACGACTTCGTGACTAACAACAACAACAAAGTACTTGGGTTTTGCAGTTTAGAACCTCCTCCACCACCACCGCTGCTCACACCTTTTCCCATGAGGAAAACTCTTTTCCATGAGGGAATCAGTCCACCCTCCCAGATGAAACAGTCTTGTGGTATTTTGATACGGACATCTGTACAGCAAGAACTGGCTGTTCAGAGGAGCAGTGACCACAGGTTCGCTTTCCCACTGCTCTTGATACGGCACTGAACCAGGAGGATGGGTGCCTCATAATGGAGACTGATGATGGTGCAAATGGCTGTGAGGGTAGCAATCTCACGTCTTCTGCCTGTTTTGTTCTCTTTTTAGCTGTACCTGCAAGCCAGGTTCACTTGGAGAGGAGCCCGCCTGCTGCGCCCCCTGCTACAGTTTACGCTGATTATGATGGCGTTTTACACAGGACTTTCTCGTGTGTCTGATCACAAGCATCATCCAACAGATGTCCTGGCAGGCTTCACACAAGGGGCCCTGGTGGCTTATTGCATAGTAAGTGGCATACATTACCAGCACATGATTTTGATGGATTGCAGTGCAGACCATGTCTGTTGGATTGTGGCAGCTAGCAATTATGAGATGTTTCATGGCCTTTACTCTGAATGGTGTAAAACTTCAGGAGTATATGTGTAAAGAAGGTGAATAATGTACCTGAAAGGAAACAGTGGCCTTGTAGTAAAAAGATTCATTCATTCATTTGTAAACCACCCAGAGAGCCCTCTGGGCTATTGGGGTGGTATATAAATGCAATAAATAAATAATAAATAAAATTTAGGGTGCAATCCTATGCATATTCTCACAGGAAAAGTCATACAACTTCCAGGTGATTGGGGACTTCTTCTGTATAAGCATGCATAAGATTATGCCCTTAGAAGATACTTTCACAGAGTTCTTCACCTGAAGATTGTGTGGTTTATTTATGATAATTAAAACAGTAAAATAAATCAGACAACAGCAGCAACATTTACATATTAAAAAGCATAAACTTAGCAAGTGGGAAAATGTCCAGTATGGAAAGTGTTACACTGATGTTGTTGTGACCCTGCACCAGTGTCCTTTTAAAAAACAGCAACGCTCCTCTTCAACTTTTTTTTCCCCTTACTACAGAAATCATACCGGAGACATTTAGTTCCTCAGTAGGTTACATCCCTTCTAAGCACTTTGGCTGCTAGAAAGCTAGATATTACTGACCCTTGGCACTAGGACACTGCCATTGCATCTTTGCTTGCTGTAGGGTGGAGTTGGAGAGTGGGCAGCCCTCCAGATATTGTTGGACTGTAACTCCCATCCACACTAGCCAGCATGGCCAATCGTGGGGGTTGGCGAGAGCAGCAGTCCAACCCCTGGAGGGACACACTTTCCTCATCCCTATTCTAGATGAAGCCCTCCCTGTTGCACTGCTGTCAGGGAAATTTAGAGGAAGCAACAAGCCAGGAAATGAAGGGGAGTATTTATGCCCCGTTGCCCATCAAATAGGTTAATGGAAGCATAACAAGGTGCAGATCTCAAGTCCCCTCAACAATATTAAGTTCTGTTTCAATGTTTTCGGAAAATGTATTTGAAGTAGCTGAACCCATTTCCGATTGAAATGGGGCAAGTGCTTGCCTGTCACTAGAGGCAATTATGGGTGAGTTTCTAAGTCCAAGAGGGGGAAGGAAGGGTAGCCTTAAACAAAGAAGACAAATATGATTGTCACCACGTAACTTTGGAAACTAGATGTATAAATACAAAGTAAATTCTAACTTTTCAGGTGTAATTAGTACAGAACAGAAGCTCATGTGAAGTAGCTGTTTTCTGTGCTTCTCTCACCCTTCCCCAACCTGGCACCCTTCAGATGTTCTGCACTACAACTCCCAGCATTCCTTATCATTGACCATGCTGATTGAGGATGAGAGTTTTAGACCAAAGCATCTCAGGGCCTCAGGCTGGGAAAGGTGATAGTCTAAGTGTAAGATTTCAGGAACTGTCCGTGAACATGTACCAAACTGGCTGCATTAGCAGAATAAGTCACATAGGTAAAAGTATAAATTATTACAGCAGTTATTTCCCTCCCCGCTCCCCCCTAAATACTAAGCACTTTCAAAGACAGCTGAATATGTTCTTTTCCACTGGTGCCAATGTTAGCCAAACCACTGTCAACCTTCTGTGAGTGATGTAGTCTCTGATTTCCAAAGTACAGATCAAAAACCTAAGCAGAAATGCTTGGAACGTGAGAGAACATGCACAGATCAGTGTTTCCCTTTCAACTGAATCAGAAAATTTGGAAACATGAAACTTGGGTCTATTATTTTGATTGGAAGTTCAGGGATATATATCTTTCTTTCTGTTCTTTAATATGGTGAAAAGGTTTCAGACAAAATGGCCTACCCAAACTAAGATAACCTGTTCTAATTTCCAAAAGTGAGCTGACTCTCTAGGCTTTTTAACTTGAATCGTTGCATATAAGCTTCACATGGAGGGAGGAGTAGTCTTGCTGAAAGTTGTACATTTTTTTTTTCTTTTCTTTTGCTTTGCTTTAGCTGTCTTGAGGAGAAAAGGACATTATTACAACTATCCAAAACTTGTATAAAGTACTTTGCACTTTTTAAAGGAACAAAATCAAAGTAAAGTACATAAGTAAAGTGTTCTGTTTTCTTGCATTTTTCTCACTTCTTGATCAGCAATATTTAAAGGGCAGTCCTGAAATAAACACAGAGAGACATGTGTTTCCTTGTTTATTTATGGGGAAATGTAGCTATCTAAACATTAAGGTGACTTTTACTCATAGAAATAGATGACCTATTCAGGCATGATGAAAGCCAGTGTGGTGTAGTGGTTAAGAGCATGGGACTGGGACTCAGACGATCCGGGTTCTAGTCCCCGCTCGGCCATGGAGCCAACTGGGTGACTTTGGGCCAGTCATAGACTCTCAGCCCAACCTACCTCACAGGGTTGTTGTGGGGATAAGATGGAGGGGGAGATATAAGCTGCCTTGAGCCCTTTGTAGGAAAAAGGCAGGATATAAATCGAAAAATAAATAAATAAATGATTAGAACTGGGTCGACTCAGCATCTGAGCAGAAATAGGGCAACTGTCAGGAGCCCCATCACAACAAAGGTTCTTCCGTGTGTGTGTGAACCTCCAGAGTAAATGCCTGCAGCAGGGATGCCTTTTTATCAGCTGTGAGCCCACCGGCTTCCTTACATAGGAGGCCTGATCAGGCAGAGTGTCAAATTGTGTGAAGCAGTATGTGCAAAGGGTCCCCATTGCAGGCATTCAGATGGTACACATGGTACGCAGGCCATTGTGGGACAGGGTTGCAAGCCCCACCCTGATCCTGGCTCCCAAGGCTCATCATGCCTTGAATTGTGTGTGCTGGATTATGTACTTGGATTCTGTAATTCTATTAAATACAGATGCATGGTCCTCATTCATATCAGCACAACTGTGAAGGGAAGGGGAGTTTCCTGATCAAACACTATGAATTCAGGCCCTGATCCAGACAGAAAACTCTATCCGGTGTCTGGATTAAGATCTGAGTTGGCAGTAGTTGGCCAGGAAATGGATCTTGGTGTTGTGATGAAGAACTTGATGAAGTTGTCAACCCAGTGTGCAGTCCCTGTGAAAAAGGAATGGGAAAACAGGCAATCTTGGTGATCACCAGGATCCTTTGGACATCAGCTCTCTTTTCATCTCACACCCATTTCCATTTGTGTTTGTAATCACTGTTTGGTCTCTGCAAATGGAAAACTGTACAAAACAAGCAGCAAAGGAATGTTACACAACTTTTCCCTACTGATTTGCCCAAATGTTTCAGATTTAGGCACATCTCCTATATTTCCTCCATAGACTAAAGTTGGGCCAATTAAAGCCACATGAAGTTTGTGCAAATTGTGAAAACCGGGTAACTTTAGGAAATTTGTACAGATCAAACAAGTGCATTGGCAATTTGAAAATATTTTCAGTAGACACATGCCTGTGATTGCATGGCAAGTTTGCATGGTATGAAAGCAAAAGAAAAAAAAATAGCGAACACTCTTAACGTGAAAAAGGCAAACTCTATATTGTAGATCATTAGGAAAGGAATCTGAAATGAAGCTACCAATATCAATATGCCATTATACAAATGTATAGCATGACCATAAGCAAAATACTGTGGTTTGTTCTGACCACTGTATCTCTCAATAAGGATGCTGTAGAATTGGAAAAGGTATAGAAAATGGCAATTAAAATATTCAAGGAGTTGGATACATCTGAGGCTTTTTGGCTTATTAAGGTGGGGAAGATTATAGAGGTATGAGTTAAGTCTCCCTGAAGCTGCTGTTATTACAGGAGAGAAAAATGTGTGGGCTTCAGCTTCTCAGCCTGTAGGTTTTCCCCTGTGCGACCAATGGTAGGTTTGAGAGAAGGCAGTATGGATCGGAGCTTGCAGTGCAGAAGCAAAGGGTTAGCACTGTCTATACGGCTCCACAGGGGTTCAGTTGAGGGTTCAGGTTAGGGTTAAAGGTGCATGGGTGGTTCTAGTCATGCAAATCCCACTAGGCATGCTGTGTGGGCATGAGGTAACAATGTGAATTGGGGGCATTTACATGACCGGTGGGCATTTCATCCTCCACCAGTTCATCCCTGCTTTTCTTAACATGCAGCTTCTGAACCCCTCTGGGAGCAAAAAGTTAAAAACCACTGGAGAGACACTTGAAGGGGAAGGGCTGGCATATCTGGCCTCACTTATTTGCCCTTGTCCTTTTCCAGTGTTGTGTTACCCAGGACCTTGAAATTTAGCTCCTAGTTTTAATCTGATGAGCATCTCCTAATCATGCTTACTTGGTAGCAAGTGCACATGCACACACACACATAAGGATATTTCTCAGAGTTTTAGTGGCCTGTTGTGGATCTCCACTGGTGATCCGAGTGTGCAAGGAGGGGAGGGGGATGCCCCCAGGTGACATGCTTGAATCACGGAGCAGTTTCTTCCCAGGTCAAGTGTTTGCATCGTTGGGTCGTGTGGCTTTACCTAGATCTTGGCAGGGCCTTTGGTCAGAGCTGGCCATGTGGAATGATGGCTAAGCTCTTCCATTTGTTGCTCCAAAATGCTTGGTGGGGTGGGTGGGCAGGATCCATGCCATGCCGTGTGCAGTACAATGCTGACAATCACAGTCCACAGAAACAGAAAGCTTCTGGCAGACAATAGGAGTTCCTGAAACAAGGGATTTTTTCTGCTTCCTGCAAAGTGACAAATCCAGCACTCTTTTCCTGACATGCAAACAGCTGTCATGTTTTACTGGGCCAGAAGACGGGTGAGAGTTCGGCTGCTATAGGCTGACTTTCCTGTGACGAGGCAAAGCCGCTGAGGAAGCAGCTGCCTGAACAGCACCGCGCACATGGATCGGCCTTCCTTTTCAGCCTGGTGCTCTCCTGCCCTCTTGGCTGTTGTTTTCTGTGCTGTGGGCTTCAGCCAGGATATGGAGAGGGCAGTGGTCTCCATTTGGCCTGCCCTTTTGCAGCCTGTGGAGAAAAAATGCACATGGAAATTGAAAAGGGGTGGCCAGTGATTTCCTATGTCTTCCCATGATTTCCTTTTCACAGGGAATGGCTAAAACATCCGCATCTAGCCTGAGCATTGTTGATAAATAGAAATGCCGTGGGCTGTCATTTCAATATAGAAAAATCCTAATATTTCCAGCTTCTAGTCGGCCATTTAGCCCACCCAGACAAACCACTGGGGTTTGATGTGTCTGCTTAGCAGCCACAGTTGCCAGTAGAAGAGGCTGACCTCTAAAGGAGAAGCCCCCTTGTCCTGTTGCAGTATTCGTCCTATATGAAAGCAAGCTCTTTTTAGCTGTTTGCACCTCCCTTTTCCTCCTCCACCTCCTTTTGTATCAGGTTAGCATACAACACATAACAAGTCTACAATCAAACCAAAGACACTTCCCACCAGCTAAGTATTGTGCATTATCAGTTGCTTTGATCATTGGGAAATTTGCAAACTGAAGAATTTTTCAGGCTCATTTTTCACTCAGTGAAGAAAATGTATTAGATACTTTGATCATGTATAAGTTAGGGATGGAACGTATGAGCTTTGCACTTATATCTGTGTTACAAAGCTGAGCCAACAAAGAGAAGAGCATAGGTCTAGCCTGTGTCTTCCTTTGTTTCAGAGGCCACCTTGCTGAGGCACAATCACAGTTCCTTCATGGCACTATTTTAACCATGATGTGGTCTTGTCACAGCCCACGGCATTTCATTGCTCGGCAGAAATCACATGAAGTTCCACCTCCAAGACTATACCCAAGCAGTAGCCAGTGCTTCATTGCAGCATCCACAGAGTGGTACTTCCACAGCATGAACAAACATACACAGAAGCTGGATTCCAAGTGCTCCCAGTTTTTGTTTTGTGTGGAATTTACAGTCACTAAGAATTACCGGAATTAAAATATCTTCCAGAAACAGCTTCAACAGCCAATTCTAATCATGTGGCTATGGATCGTGGGAGGATAGGAATCTGTGGGCCCATTTCCCTTGCCTATTCAACTTAATCTCATGTCAGCTCTTTGCTAAAACATTCTGGATCCAAGCAGAGTTTCTTTTTTAAATATAATGAATGAAAAAGACATTGATCAATTGAAATGGCTGCATAGCACATTCCCAGTTGTCTGCTGCCGAGTTTTCTTTATGGGTGGAGAGCACCTTCCACAGGAAATGGAAGAAATCCAAGCAAAACCACTCTTGCTTGGCCCTCTCTTTTTTGTGTTAAGCAGCTGAAGCATTAGGAGGGTTTAGCACACTTTTCTAACCTTAGAAGATCGTGTTTCATGATTTCTCTCCATGTTTTTATAACCCCAAGCCTTCGCTAAAGTGAAATGCAGTTTAAAGGGGAATTAGCACTACTAGTCCCAAATATCTGATGTAAAGCCACACACACCATTAACTGGAGCAAAGGCTAAGAAGGCCAAGATGACACTCCATCCATAACTTGCTCATTGAGAAAACTCAGGCCAGATTGAACCAAATCCCCCGTCTGCCCCTTGCACCGTGCAGCCACCACCTGCTCCTGCCACAAATTGATTTGCCATGGAGACTTTGGTATCGAATGTGGATCTAGTTGTGATTGAATCCAGGCTTAGGAAGTGGTAAGTGAGAGGCATGGCATCAGACTCGCCTTTCAGCCCTCAAATCTATACAAGCTGTAGAGATGAATGACTGGATGAGTAAAGGAAATGCAGTTGTATTAAAATTAATTCAAGATTTAAATATTTACAAATTCTAATCACAACCCAGGCAAGGCCTTCAACCCAAAGAAATCACTGGATTATTTAAGATCTAATGTCACATTCACCTTGTGGTAACCAGGTGTCTCTCATGAAGTTACCCCATTCATGTGAGAGCTACTTATCTGTCCAATGGGCACCCCAGTTTAGCTCAACAGATTTTAGCCACTACATAATTAGAGGAATGAAACCAAGAGATATTAAAATGAGAGAGTGCAGGAGTGTTACATTTCTTCAGCATCAGCTCCTTAAAGGAATGACAGGATACAAACATGAACCTTAGGTACTGTACACCGTCTAATGAAAGTGAAAAATGGTCATGACTAACCGAAGTCCCATGTATTCATCATTAAGGCTTAGTCAGAACCAATGTTTCCTGGATTTGTCAGTAGCTCACAGCTCCTTTTCTTGTGGAAAAAGGGGTATTTCTCCTGATGTTTCTTAATCTCCAGTGACATCAGGGGAAATATCCATGTAGTGGGAAAAGTAAGCAACACACCTGGTTTTCCCAGAATCAAAAGCAATTCTAGAATTCCCAACCATCTATATCATAGGTTCATGGAAAACAAATGGAGCCATAGGCCAGCAGTTGAGCTTGGGGAAGGGTGCCCACTATTTCTGTTGAATCTGGCAATCAAGGGAATTTAAAATCTAAGGTCAGAGAATAGGTTGCTACTATTTATTTTTCTTTGGTCACAACCAAGCATCTTTTTTTCTGAGTCTGATCTCACTGCTTTTGTTTCCTTGGTGGATTATGGGTAGACTGTTTGAGTGTCAAACAAAGTGATATGGTGATATGACAGAACGGGAAGCCTGAATGCAAGCGTTTGCATCCAGTAAAACAAGCAGCCTCTTTAAACAAGCAAGTCTTTTGTGATTTCTCCCCCTGAACAAGGCAATTAGTTTAAGTAAAGAAGCACTAGTAACCTATAAGCCCGAACTCTTGTAACTGCTAGCAGAACGCAAGCCATTCATTAATCAGGCTCCTTCAACTGAGGGGCAGCCCAAGACAATACAGCAGCAACCTGCCTCTTTCCATGGGTAGAGTCTGTCTAGATAGGTACCCTGCTTGGGTGTTGCAAATCCGTGCACAAAAAGACGGATGCCCAAGCCCTGCCCTGCCTCCAGCACCCTATATGCGCGCAGGGCAATAGTCTGAAGAGGGCTGTATCCTAGAAGATACGATCAGGAACCTGAATTTTTTTCTGGGGCTAGTGAACGGTGGGGGCAGGGCAGCATTTCTGACTGCACTTGTGGAAAACAGTCTTGCTTAGTGGGCACAGGCCAGGCTGTGGGGCCCACACAGCTCTGCCCTCTGACAGAGCTGCGCTGCCAAGGGGCTCAGGAGGAAAGCGAGCAAGCAAGTGAGCTGCCTTTCAGGCTCTCCACACTCAGACACTACCATGCCAGTGACTGCTTCAGTGATAACAGAACAGGGCTGGGATTGCATCCTTAATGCACATTTGTGTGTGTTTGTAATGTATCTGTGTACACACACAGACACTGTGTGCATGTTAATAGCTGAAATATGGCTATACGAAACCCTCTAGCAGTGAAAAAGGGAGCCTTCTTATGCTGTCTGCAAAGCCTGGATGATTTCTGACTCTCTCCTTTGGAGTTCTGTTTTGCAAAAGAGAAAATACATCAGTCATGTGGGCTTGATAAGACTTTAGGCTGCTGCAGCTGAGGGAGGATGTCAAAGCTTCCTCCCAGGCCTTTCTCATTGTGTGGCTGCCCCTCTGAATCGTCTGGTGCAGGCCTTTCCACATCCGCAGGGCTGCAGACATCATTGGATCTTTCAGGGAAAGGTACTTAAATATCTCTGCTTAAAGCTGTTCTTCAAAAATTCCAAGAACAGTAATCCTGACTAAGCTCCAGTGTACTAGGAGTGTAGAAAGGGCAGTGACAAAAGGGAAGGGAGTGTGAAAGTGAGGCAAGATCAAGCTTGCCTGACTAATAATTGCAGAGAAATGTCTCTTGAGGAAAGTTTAGGAATAGAATGGATTAAATGACTGAAAGGAAGTGTAGCTGCCTGCACTTTGGGACATGTTAATCGTAGTTAGAATTTATTTTTTAAATTTGCATTAGCAAACTCTTCTTCCTAAAAGTTTCTTAATCAGTACACTCATCCACAGATATATACCCACAATAAATATACTTAAATTGAAAGAGGGCAGAGAGTTTTACTCTAATGGGGAATATATACCCACCATTAAAGTGTCTGTGTGTGTTTGTTGGGGGGTGGGGCGTGTACACGCACAGCAGGAGAAGGAAGTTTCCCCTGTCAATAATAATTAAACGAGAGGCTGAAGGTCAGTTAAGGATCCAACTTACATTTTCACTGTACAAGTTTGCCTGTGGTATATTAGCTGGTTTTGGAAGGCCACTGACCATGTTCTTAATTGCAGGTGAAGACTGCAACTTTGGAATTGGTATATTGGTATAATTAGCTTTGTTTATTCATGTGGGAGTTAAAGTATGTAAAGAAAAACAGTGTTGGAGTAAAGCAGTAAATATTTATACTGAATGTATATATTTTCTTTCATTTACAGGTGTTTTATGTCTCAGACCTCTTCAAGCAGAAAACAAAGATTTCGCAGCCTCCTCCTCCAATCCGGAGGGAGATACTTTCACCTGTGGACATCATTGACCGGAACAACCATCACAACATGGTGTAGACATTTGACAAATATAATTTTATTTTTTATTTTTGCAAAACGACTGCTGACAGCAACTACCTGCTGCTCTCAATCTCATCAGACAGTAGAATGTAGGGAGAAACTCTTGCCTGACCAATAAGATCTTGCTCTGTGGCCTTTTTACACAACATTTGCATAAAATGGATGTTGTTCAACTAAGTCAAAGGCAACAATTATGAAATGAATCCAGACATGATGCAGGAATTCTAAATGTGCAATTGGCTGAGTGTTCATGTTGTAGTGAACGCTGAATTGTTCATAGCTTAATGAACACTAAATGATTACTAGGAAACTGGCCATCTCTGCTTCTTCTGCTTCTTTTGTTTTAAACTATGAAAATTTCCAATTCCTGTTAAGAGAAATGGGGAGAAAAACTCTCATCACCTATATTATAGCACTATCTACCAGAAATAAGCACTGATTCGTGAATTGTGATTACTTTCTAAGGGTAACCTTTTTTATTGGTTTTTCTTCACTCCATACTGTGACTTAACTTTTGGTTTAGGAGAAGCATACCAGGTAAACTGCCAGAAAGGTGTCTTTTCCCACTGCACAATCTGATGCCTGAGAAGCATAAATGAGTCCACTTGTTGAATGGAATCCAACCTAATTAAGATTAAGATAATCTTAATTATCCCTTATAATTAATATATCCTTAATCATAAGAGTCATTCTGTATTTTTTCATTAATCTGTGATTAGCAGCACGGCATCCTTCTTGTTCCTCTTATCTCTCAAGCTTTGGAGAACAGTGGAATTGCCAAATAAGGGATACTCAAGTTGCATGGAACCCCCATACCTCTGGTATATAATCTTAACAATACTGCATGAAATATTCACATTTCCCTCTGTGGCCCACAAAAATCTTTCCCCTGGTTCCCACTGACACAAACAAAGACCAAAAGTATCTTCTGAATGGTAGCCCATTTTGGACTCACAAAATATGATTTTGTTTGTGGTCAGACTTATTGATGTATATTAGCGCTATGGGCTCTGGGGTCGAGACTCAGAACATTAAGCTTCCGGGTATAGGGTGGACTGCTGGACGGGACCCTCCTCACCTGATAGTCAATCAAATCCCTTGTAAGATTCTGTGGCCTAAAGGAAAGGGATCCTTGTAAGCTCTTCATGAGAGTCCATCCTTCCCCAAACTGGAATCCTCTAGGAATATTCAAAAAGAAGTCCCATCATTCCCACTTCCCTAGCCCTTGATTGTGCTGGCTGGGTATGGTGGGAGTTAGGGGGCAACAGGTTGGAGAAGGCTGCATTAGACAACAGGCTGAATGCTGCTTTCAGCAACACAGAGTGCACGCAAAAAGAAACCAAGAGCAGAACGCTTTCTGCACTTTCAGGTGGAATTCTGAAAGGCGGATCTTTTTAGAAACCTTTAAGAACTAAACTGGTAACGCTAACCAAGCAGACTGGCCTTTGCACATCTTGTCATGCCAATCCGTCCTATCATTTCAATTCTAGCAAGCTATGACTTTTATAAATATATATATAAATATATAAATATTATATAAATAATGTATAAAACATTAAAATTAACTATGTAAAATATTATTTCTGAAGCGATTTTAAATATATCCACTATGATTATAAACTGTGTTTTTACCTGTGTTATTTACATGTTGCTGCTTAAAAAAAAGCATTGACTTAATTTTTTATAGTCGACTAAAATATTGTAGTTCTGTGGTAGCAATATTTGAATGAAAATAACAACTAAAGACAATTGTATAAAATCATATTAAATTGTCTGTATTTTTGTAATGTTTCTGTGTAAAAAGAGGAATATGCAAGACTTTTTGTAGAATACAGAATTAAAGTTTGTATTTGCAAAAATATTGCTGTATAAATGTGCTTCATCAATAAATGTAGGAGGAAAAATTATTTCATTTTGTGTGAGCCCATATTATCCCCTTTGGCTGAAAGTGATAACAGAAGTTTGCAGCCTACTTCGGAAAAGTGTTACCCCTGGACCAGTCCTTTGAGGTACTCAGAAGACTTCACCCCTTCCTCTGGCCTGACCGCTTTCCTCCACCATTCAGCATTTGCTGATTTCCATCTTTTGCACCATATTTTCTAAAAAGTTGCATGCCTGCCCTAAGGCTTAGTTGCAGGCAGTAGAAACTTTAAGCTAAAATATGCGGGTATTTTGCTCCTGCTGCTTTTGTTCTTGGCCCCACCAACCACTGGAATGCTACTTTTGAGAGCTTCTTCCTTATTAAATTTAGACCTTGGGCTGAGAGCATTTCAATATCCCCTGGTGCATAGGATACAGCTCAGTGACAAATGGCTGGTTGTATTACTTTGATATAGCATTGTCAAAGTATCCAAATCAGGATTGTTTGGATACCCAGCTCTGGGGACGTCCAACCGTGAGGTTCTCCCATCTCATCTGCAGCCTTGGAGAAGGCTCAACGGGTGTGCTGGGATAGTTGGGGAGGAGACGGGTTGCTCCCGTGTGCCATATCGAAGAGTACCTCCCCATCCCTTCTTCCATCCCTTTCCACAGTGCTTCATTTAAATAACGGAAAGCGACTCTCTAGGTGAAATGCAGCACACTCGGAGACTGCTACTGCTGCTCCTCACGTCCTGCAGAAGATGCACGTAAGCGTCATGCTTACAGGCTTACCTGCACCAAGTTCAGTGGCCCTCAGATTGTGCCTTTGCTGTGCCGTTAGTCCAGGTGGAAGGCAGTAGGATCAGGCAGGCAGAACTCCCTGCCTGCCTGTGGACAGTGTGGAAGGGATTCAGAATACAAGGGAAGGGAATGTATGTATTGGAGTAGCTGGAATCCTGGCCAGCACATCCCCCTGCAACTTCTGTTGCTGATCCACTTGCTTATTTTAAACAGAGGATTTTGGTGTGTGTTATGTTAAAGAAAAACATTCTAACTATAGTACTGCTAAAAAATCAGTGGCAGATACTGCCTGTGAAGCTTGTCCAAGCTCATTTGCCCTATTCCACCAACCCACTGTTCCTGCATTTCAAGATTATGAAATGATACAGCAGTGCACTAGGTGCTGAAAAGGCTCAGCAGTTCACAAGGAACCCCGTTTAAAGGCTTTTCGATTAACTCATTCGTCCACCAGCCTGATTGGAGATGTTTTCCCTGCTCATCAGTGCTGAGAAAGGGAGAATGTCCCTGGAAGACTTAGTTGGGCAAGTAGGGCTGGGCACTGGGGGTGCACACAGCATGAGCAATACAGTCTGGTGTGCTGAAAGCCATTGCTTTCCATCAACTGTGGTAGATGTGGACAGATGCTTAAACACAGAGGCTGTCTCCATGACACAATAGCTACAATGACACCGTGGGGCACATGAAGCTGCCATTTTGGACTGCAGCAAACCCAGAGAGTGTGGGTTCTGTGAAATAGCCTTCATATAACCCATGGTTGGTTTTGAGCTATGCTTAAGCCCTGACTTTAATGGGAGAGAAATAAGCGTGAACACAGCTTAAAGATGTCTGAATTGTTCTTGTAGCGATGAGCACAGCTACAGTGACACAAGGCATGGCATCCATCTTCATGCTGTTGATATTAAGGAAATTTGATGGGAACATATAGCCACTAAGAAGCCTTTGAGGTACACTACGGCACAGTTGATTTACAGCAAAGTCTCTCTTCCGTGAAACAAAAACAAGAGAAAGGAAATTTGGACTCGTGGCACTTATTTTTCTGGAGCATGGAGCTTTTGAAAGTGAGCTTGGACTTAAAACAATTCCATGGCATTGCTGATTTTATATAAAAGAGCAGCACATAGTGTCCTTGCCCCCTCCCCTCCCAAGCTAAGATAAACGGAACTGAACACAAGCAGTGCTATTTTGGTGCCTGGGGCAGAAAATCCTTTCCTCCTTGTCAGTAAAAGTAACAAACAGCACATTAAATAACTATGATTTGCTGCTTTTTATTAGTCTCTGCCTAATGTAGGGCTGTCCCTGATATCACAGGACTAAATTAGGTAAAAGAATCCAATATTCTTAGGTTGCAGTGCAATGCCATAAACATTCAGTGGCTCATACTGGCTAAATTTATTTTTATTCCTGGCCTATTTTAGTCTGGTACTGGCAACACATGATTTTAATTAGCAAATTAAAATTAACATGTTTTGCTCACATTACATTTGAAAGAGAAATAATAATGAAATAAGCTACCTGAGCACAATCAAGCATGAATGGGATGGATGCATCTTTCAACTTAGTTTTTTCCGAGGTTCTCATTTTAACTTTGGTTCATCTTGAACTTTGAAAATATCTTGCATCTTTTTTTTCCTCCATCCTTGGATTTTTTTTTTTAAGTTTACATGAAAATTCACCATGTTCCAAATATATGCATGCATATGCTTACCTATGGGGTTTTCATGGCAAGGGTACTGGAGTGGGTTGCCGTTTCCTTCTTCAGTGGATCACATTTTGTCAGAGCCCTCTGCTATGACCTGTCAGTCTTGGGTGCCCCTGCACGGCATAGCTCATAGCATCATTGTGCTACACAAGCCCCTTCGCCACGACAAGGCAGTGATCCATGAATACAATTCTGATATTTTAAAACATTATTTTTCTTAATAAGGACATCTTTTTTTTTAAAGAATCCCATTGCAAAATTTGGGAAATTGCAAATGTCAAGGATAACTGAGTTTCAATTCACATAAAGGTTTGAAACTGTGAATGGTTCAAAACTTGTATTAAAATGAAAAATGAACAGATTTCTCTCTCATCTCTGTCAAGCATTCAGGTTGTAAGATACAAAACAAACAAGCAAACAAACTCGGAGAAGAATGGATCTTGGGGTGCTGAAAGGGTAGCAGTGAAGGCTGAACCCTCGTCAAGGACAGGTGCTCCAATTAACAATGGATGATTGAGCATTGTCATTATTTTACTCAACTGGATTCTGTTGCAAACCTCCATTCCTAGCCACAGCCAGGCACTCAGGAAGCAAGATTTAAGTGTTATGAGGTATCCAAGAAAAGTGAATATATAAAAATCAGATTTCAAACTCAAGGTCTTCTGTTTCCTGGCACACACAGGATGGTCTTCTGCATTGGCATGATCATCTGCAAAAGCTAAACTGAATGCATGGAAATGGAAATATATTATTTTGGGATTTTTAAAAGACAGTTCCCAACAATTGTGATGGAGGAAACTTGATTTATTATTGATATATGCACAGATCTGTGCCAGGAGCAGTATTAAAAGTATAATGTGAAAATGTCTAATGATCTGGTAAAATTTGACACAAGACACAAGCATGATTGTAAAAGTAAAGAATTCTTTTAAGGTTAAAATCTTTTATCATTCCCTTTACTTTGGCTTCTTCAAGGATTAATATACTTGGTTGCAACATGAATTATGAAGGTTGGCATGCCATAAAGCTGCATTGGATATAAAAGAACAGCAGTTTTCCCAGTTCTTCTTTAATTTGGAAAGTGGAAAGAGCATGGAAAAATGACACATACTTAGAAACACAAGGGCAGACGGTATAGGGGTTATGCTAAAAATAAGTTTAAACAGTGCTCAAAATGTGCATTTGGCCAGAAATTAACATTTTTTAAAGTTTCCTATACCATCCCAGCTCCCATGTAATTCAGGCTTGCAAGGCAAGGGGAAGCGTGGCTGGGCTTCTTTGTGTTGGGGGCCCGCGCCCCAGCAGGGACCCCTTGTGGTTGCTCTCCCTATTCACCAGTGCCTTGCACCCTGGCCCAGGCAACACCAGTGATGGGTAGGGAGGAGGGGTGGAAGATGCCACGACTTCTTTGTCCATTGGCTGTTGGACTGTCAAGCAAGCAGCTGGCAGCAGGAGGAAGAAGAGCAATCGGCAGCCGTGCTGGTAGACTCACTGGGCAGGAAGCCACAGGAGAGGGGTTGCCTAAGGTCTTTCGAACGCTGGTGTGTCCATGCAACCGGATGCAGTGGAATGGGGATGGGAGGGCTCTGGGGAGGTGATGTGGATGGGGCAGCCTCTGAGTGCGAGAGGGAAGCACCCTGTTGAACGTTTCATTCCATAGAAGAGCATTACGGTCATAAGCAAGTAAGTAGCATCTAAAGGGAAAAGTTAAGATGCTGAAGTACAGAGAGCAATAGGAGCTTTTCTTCTTTATCTGAATGACATCTTTTTAGAAATGGTGATTGGCAGTCTTTATTATCTAACATTGCTCTACACTGACACAAAATAGGAACTTGCCCAGGCCCAGAGGCATATCTTTGCATTCAAACTATTGGTGACATCTCTGCAGATTAGAACATAAATCTGTGCTCCAAAGTCAAAGGCTGAGTTACCTGGCTCTGTAGCAAATGCACCAACAAACAAGCATTTCAGATGGGACGGAATGTGATCAGACCCGGTGGACAGTCATCTCTGTGCCACTTTAAGCTGATCCAAGATGCCAGCCAGTGCATATTGTACAAGCTTGCCTTGGCTGTCCTCTAACACTGAAAGACAATAAAAGAGACCATAAGTCCAGAGAGAGATCACTTGCTTACATTTATAGCGTACCCTTCTTTTTCAGCAGAAATTTTCAAGGCAAATAAAGAATAATATATAAAATACATATGGGTCAAAGCCATGCACATACTTGGCCTGCTATCAGCAGGACTAAAACTGCCAAATTTGCAGATGATGCTGAATTATTCAGAATGATAAAATCCAGAGCAGGTTGAGAAGTGTTCCAAAAGGATTGCTCCAAGTGAAGTCTAATCTACTCAGACAAAAGAACCATGAAAGGCAGTTTTTCCTAGACTGAAGCACTTAGAGGAATTTCATATCTGAACGTTCCTCTGGAGGTGCAGGGGGAGTCACCCACTCCCTCTCTGAATATCTATATATGTGAACACGTTCTAGGTTAGCCTTCTCCCATTTTCATCTGTAGCTAATGAGCTGCCAGGCCAGCTTCTC